AAACCAAATGATACACCCGGTTTCTACCATTTTGTGAGCAAGATCACTAATTCCGTTCAACCCAAAAAAATCCTTACTTAGACGCATATCAATAATGTAGTTATCCAATTGATCACTTAGCTTACATTTATCGAATTCGGTAAAATCTTCTGGATAAAATTCAACAAGACAAAAAAAAAAAACTTCCTTGTCCAAATGGAAGAATTAGTTAGATGGATCAAGGCAAGAAACACATATAAGCAGTTCCATAGTCGAATCAGAAAATCAAGCATTTAATACTCCATGTTGCATATCTAAAATAGTTTAAAACGTCTCAACCTTGTAATGATGAAGATTTGTCATTACTTCTTCATTCATTCTCATTCGCCCTCGAGCAACATATTTAGCATCCATTTGAGGAATATCAACTATATTTTTCTTACAAAAAGTTGTTACACCATCAAGTAAACAATTCCACGCACTTTCTCTCAAGGATTGAATTTGAATCTTTGATACTTGAATTAATAAAATTGCATTGACTAGATCTTGATCTTTCATTTGACGTGCCCGAGAGAGCTCATTTGTAATTGCCAATACTTATTTAATCAAAAAAAGACTCAACAAAAAATTAAATGACAAAAGTTTATCCACAGTGTCTTGTGCTTCGGTCCGATGACTTGTACTTGAAGCATCACAACCAATAATTTCAAGTACATCAATCAGTGCACCATATATATTGATCAAACTCAAGAAAGTATTGTAGTGAGAGCTCCAACGTTTATCACCTGTATATTTAAAAACGTTTAAAAATAAAAGTGGAAAGACATTCTTAAAAAATGAAAAAAGAAAATCTAGGAGCCTAAATATAATCTAACCTACTTGCTTAAGATTCGTTTCTTAATTTAAATCACGACTAGTTGAAATTTCTCCCTAATAGATTGTCTCAATTATCTTTTTTGATTGCTTTTCTCTAAGGAGATCAAGACGTTTGCACTATGATCCAATAACATTCATACCTTTGTAGTAAAATCAAAAAGTGAAGAAATATGATTGTGTTTCCTTGCAACTGCTACTAAAGCTACTTGTAGTTGGTGAGCAAAACAATGAATATAATACGCAAAAGAATTCTCATTCAGTGTTTTTAGGCCATTAAAGTAATGTCTCATACTACTAGATCCACCATAACCCTAACCTCGTAATTTAGAGATATTCAATCCATATCTAGAAAAAAAAAATCATCAATAGTTGCTTTAAGAGTCAAAGCACTAGTATCGGTAACATGTTCAACTCCTAAAAAACGCTCAATCGCACTGCCAGATTGGTCAACATATCTTATGGCCAAGGTTATTTGCTCATTTATTCATATATCACGTGCTTTATCAACCATAAGACAAAATAGTACAATGCAATTCTGAGTAACACAGAAAAAGAAGGAGGTCATTTGCGCACTCCGGGACAAATCGCAGCATTTTGCAATGCTCTAGACGGGTGTAACTTGTTGGATCTGGGCTTCCACAACACGCCTTACACTTTGTCAAATAAACGTCAAAACCCTCACATAGTTCAATGCCGGCTTGATAGGATTTGTGTGAACGAATCGTGGGCGATTCTTTTTTTTCACTCCTTGCAGATGAATCATTTAGATTATACAGGTTCGGACCACATTCCTATATTGTTGTTGCTTCAACCGTCGCGAAGTAATAGTTTTCGTTCGGGAAGGAAACCTTTTCGATTTGTGGCGATGTGGATCCGAAAAAACGAATTATCAGACCAGCTGGTGCAATATAATTTAAAAAAAAATATAACCTCGAATGATAAATAGACCTCGAATGCAAACAAAAAAAAATCTTTAAACTTAAAAATTAAATAGATAAACAAAATCATTAATGATTAGACCTCGAATGCAATATATATCAATAGGGATGGCAACGAGTTGATTTTGGGGCTGGTTTACCTAAATCCGAGACCCGATTCGCGAAAAATATATAAAATTCAGACCTGCTCCAACCCATTTTAGCTTAGACTCAGATCCGCCCCAACCTATACTCAAATTAAACGGTTCTGACCCGCCAGACCCACTAGACCCGTTAACATAAAAAAAAAAATTGTTTAACTTTCACAATATTTTTCTTGTATATTTTAACAAAATATTCAAAATTAAAATACTATATTTTAATTTTTTTTACAAATGATATAAATTGAATAATAAAATTATGTAATTAATTATAATTAACTTCGACAATAAATAAAGTTCACAATGCAAGACGGCTAGCAGTGGTCGACAAGCTTGATATATATTACTTACGAGAAACAAGATTCAAAAAAATCAAACCGTGAAATATTGGCAAATTAGAATAGGCACGATGAAAATTGAAAGTTTGATAAATGAAATTCTAAATTAATTAATTTGTATGTATAAGTTAACTATTAAATATAATTACACGGGGCGGTTCCAATAAGACCCATAACCCGACCCATAATCATCCGGTTCTAGAAACTTAAACTCATTACCCAACACATAAACATTTAACTTACCCAGACCACCCTAAATGGGCCGAATCTGGATCTAAGACCCGGCAAATTAACTCTTACCTATTGCCATCCCTATATATCGACCAACCCCTACAAACGTTTAAAGTTCTCCTCCATATACTTAACTGCGTCATCAGATGCGGATCTTAACAGCCCAAAGGCCGAACCTCATTGCGTCAATTGCCATGCAACTCCAATTGATTTTTTTTTTTTTTTTTTATAGTTAAAACGATATCAACTATATTACTAATGAGCATTATTTTCATGCACGTCCCTAAAACATATACACTCCAATTCTATTTTTTTTTTTTTTTTCTAATAGTTATAAGAAGCATATTTCTTTTATAAGAAGCATATTTTTCGCTTAGGCCTCGTGTGGTTGTCAGGATAATATTAAATAATTTAATAAAACTTAATTATATTATTGGACCTAGTAAGCTTCAATGAAAAACATGTTTTGAAGGCAAAATTAAGTCATGATAGCATAATATTTACGAGTCTATCTGGTAAGTTATTGAGAATACCAAATATCAAACAAATTTTAATTATTTAGTTAATAGTGACTAATCTCCCCAGCCAAACAAGGCTTTAGTCTCTTACAAGCACACAGACAAAATATACATGTGACTAATTCGTACAAATATTTGACTAACTTTTTTCCTCATTCATATGTTTATATATTTTTTAATTGTTTTCCCCTATAAAAGTTTAACTTTTTATTATCTTGAAATAATTTAAATTTCATAATTAATTATTTTAATATTGTGTAATTTATTTTAAATACAACTTAATTATCATCATTTTAAATTTTCTTTATTTTTGCAATGCCATCGAGTGTATCGCGTGGGAAGAATTACTAGTTTATTTATAACTTCAACTGTCTTGAAGTCAGATTAATTATATAGATATATCAACTGGTCAAAATAAAATATTTCAATACAGTGTAATGTAACTAATTACATGGTATGAATGTAATGTAACTAATTACATGTAATGAATTGTTATGGTTAAAGAAAAAAAATAGAAGGTAATTAGTTCAAAAGGTATATTTAATTTAGTGGTAGAGTCAAGATTAACATAATACTCCAATTGTTTGTGTGAATGTAAAAACTCGTTACTTCAAAAACAATTACAATTTCATAATTTTTTAAATCTTATTAGACTTAATCCAACTTTGTCAATTTTGAATTTTGAAATTACATACAAATTTTCCTTTAATTTCTCTATATATAATCCCGAATTCTTTTACAACAAAACAACATTAACATTGCATTATAATACAAAAAATACACTCACACCGAGAAAGGTGCATGCAATGGAAACATTTCTACAAACATATGTTAGCTTCATTATCTGCACTTTATTGTGTTTTACTTCTTCAGAAAACACAATTTGTTACGGCAGAGAAGGCAATTATTCAAGCAAGTTAATTGCTTCATCACTAGTAAAAAATTCTACCAAAGCTTCCTCTTTTGACGTACGTGACTACGGTGCTAAAGGTGACGGATCTACCAACGACGCAGCGGTAAATTTCACACTTATAAATAATTAACAATTATGTTGTACTATCTTTAATTTGTGATAGTGTAACTAACTTAATTCCGATAATTAATTATAATTTAGTTTGACAATATAAAAAATGCAATTTATTTCGTTTTGTTACAACAGGCATTTCAGACAGCATGAAATGTAGCATGCGAA